AGGGTTAAGGCGATGGATAGCAAGGGCTTCTTTAAATAAATGGGACCAGTTAATTATAGGAGAACTATCAGTTATTGCAGTGTTAGAATATTTAGAGATTTGAAATTAACAATGAAATCATCTTTAATTGTGTTAGGCAAATTATGAAGTTTTAAAATATATTGAAAAGCATCGCAAGACTCAATATGATTGTGTATGAAACTGTTAGAGATTGTAGAATGTTCAGATACTCTAGTTATAAGGCACCTGTCTGTCTTACCAATATAGTCGCATTCACAGCCAGGGCATTTAAAATGATACACAACAGAACTACGATATTCGTTAGGTGTTACATATTTGGATGAAGTGAAATATGATACTTTTTTAGTTTTCCATAAAGTAATGAATTTAACATCTTTAGTTAGATTTCTTTTGACTTTGCCAATACATCTACGGAGGAGTATTTCTCCTTGACGACCAATGTATGGAGTATGTACCCAAATTTTAGTAATATCATTACTAACATTTTCATTGTCATCATTAACATCATTAGGCTTAGGAGTATCAGAATCAAATTTATCCAAAAGCTTGCTAGCTAATTGTCTAGGAAAACCATTCTATAAATAGCTAATTGGCATATTTATGCAAATTAGGCGACTTCTGGGTTGAACCTTGCGTCCTATTTTTGATATGTCATTTAGCACAACCTTATGAACCAGAATCAGCAATAAAACAAACTGTTGCAATTTGTTTGACTCAATGCTCTAAATCTGCCTGTCTAAGGGCCTGGTTTCCAGCTTTGCATGCATTTGCAATGTGCTGGTTCCACATGCAATTGAGGTTATTGGATATGGTGGCACCCAGGTAATGGATGATATCAACCTTTTTGATCACTTGTCTGTGCAGCGTATACAATGGTACGGGTTTAGGGCCTCTGTTTCTCGACATGATCCTGACTTGACACTTGGCTGGATGGAATTCCATCTTCCACATCCTTTCCCATTCTGCCAGTTTATTAAAATCAGTTTGAAGTTGTACAGTAGGTCATCTCTTGTCGATGTGATTACTCGATGTGTAAGTGTGTCATCAGAAAATAGTCTGGTAGTACAATTTATTCCCTTAGGCAGGTCATTAATGTAATATAAGAAAAGGCTAGGTCCCAAGACAGATCCCTGTGGCACGCCAGATAGTACAGGAACATATGAAGACTTGGTCCCATTCACCACAACAGCTTGTGTTCTATCTCGGAGAAACTCTTGAATCAATCTAGAAGTCATGCCACAAATACCATTTACTTATGGATCGCTAGTGAATGACACACTTGATGTGAGCAAGTTTCCAATCCTGAGGTATTATACCTGTCTGGTATGATAATCTGAATATTAATGCCAGAGCAGGGGTAATCTCATCAGCAGCTATACGTAGTACTCTGGGGCTAATGCAGGGGACACCAGTTGGAAGAACCCATTTCTGGGAGATTTGTTTAATGACACTGGGAGCGCTATATATTTTATTAGGAAAAAGTGTAGGTACCAAACGAAGAGCCACGCCCACCTCAGGCCCACCAATATTGGGGGCTAAGGTGATCACATTTTTGTTAGAATAGGCACTTTTGAAGCCCGGAAATGGCACTGTCAGGCTGCAAAAAATAATCGGCAACCAAAGTTTAGGCTTAAATAAAACAAAAAGGTTTGTGTTTTAGAGAATTTCCGGGAGATAAGTGAATTTCCGGGAGATTTTTTGCCGGAGTACGGGAGACCATACCGATTTCCGGGAGACTTTCGGGAGGTTCGGGAGACTTGGGACCCCCTGCTAATGCCATCTGGTCCTGGAGACTTATTAGGATTTAGTACTTACGCACACCACCAACAATAATGTTGATGTCAGAACACTCAGGCCAGTCAATTTCTTTATTAGGCGCGATCTACAAATTATCCCCAACGACAGAAACGGGTCAAACACGTTTACTATTGTTATATGACAAGCTCCCAAACGCGTCTGTGAAATGCCGTTTGGAAGCTTGTCGTTCGAGCCGTTTATGGTCCTGTCGAATCCGGGGGCCCCGGCCTCTCAGGTTGTAGAATCTGGCTATATATGTGAGAGAGATGTTCATAGTGGTTTGGTGTTTTGTTATGGCAATTGCTTCTCTGATAATTCTCTTGTCCCTGTCTCTTAAGACTACTGTATGTGATTGACCTTGTGTCTGCTTCTCTCATGCTTCTCCTGATCGTGGGAACCTACTTGTGTGGGAACGTTTCTCACTGAATTCACTGTTACTAGGCAATTTGCAGTAATGCAAACTGCTGGTATATGCCTATTTCAAACAGTTTATTTCCGTTCATGACAAAGTAAGAATATCGATACGAAACAAAGTGAATTGATTTTATTTCTGAACGGGACCGGTAGCGGCAGGATTTGGCAGAAGGGGATACGATGTCTCCGACAGAAAATCACGAGGCAAATATTAAAACAGTGTAAATTTTTATTTCATTTCCTTCAACTTAACTTATATACCGGGATGGTGTCCGGCGGGAGATAGTTGTTACTATCATAGTTTAAATTTTATCTATCAGAATCTAGCCCCGAATCCTAGACTCATGTATTTAAAGCGGCCTGTAGCATGTGTATACAGCATATATTTGTATTTTTTGTCGATGGATAAATAAATGTCCGAATATAAGGATTGAATACTGTTTTCTGTACACTACATGTTTGTTTGGGTCAGTTAAGAATTAGCACTTAATTAGGCCTATTAATGAAATACAACGGTACACAAACATTCACTTGTAGGCCTATGTTTTATTTATATTTTGACATTAACATAGGCCTTTAACACTCAATATTATTTTTATTTAACATAAGCCAATAAACAGCTTCCACACATAAAATAACAGTAGCCCTAACCAATAAAAATATATAAAATACAAAACAAGATTTATGCAAGATTTTAAAAAAACTGTACAGAAGTCTCCGCCCGGCAGGCAGACAAGGCCATACTTTAAACTGGCATCCAGGCACTCCATCGAACGTCCTATTGTTAGCATCTCAACTGACCCACTTCTGTCAGAGCGGCGCTCAAAGCGAATTTCTGTAGACCAAGGAGGAAAGTTTTTTCCTCCATGTATAGATCAACACTGGCCACACAGTCAGTGACATTTGTCACGTGATGTTGCGTACTTTGTTGAACTGATCACATCCACACACACGAGGTACCCAATATTAATTGTACAGTAGTTGCATAGGCCTAGTTGCTGTATATAATATATATTGATGCCTACGTTTAATAATAGAGAAAATAGATGTTCTAATTTCTCTATAGTTTATTGAATGATGTTTGGGCGAATACTGGTGTCCATTTGTGTTCCCATGTGATATGTGTGCAGGGAGTTGATAAATGTTTTTTCGTTCGTCGTCAGCTTCTTAGCTGGTAGGCTGCTATTTAACGAAGATAGGTCTTTCCGACAGAGCAAACGGCACTTAGGCCTACATGCACGTGCTGCCATTATCGTCATTACCACTTAATTTAACTATTAGGACTATGCAGCCTTTAAACTTTAAACTTGGTTCATTTCAAAGTAAAACTTGTTCAGTATTTTCAATTGTGCAAAAACGGTAGTTCAACCGGGGCCTGGTCTAACGACACAGACGCGTTTGTCGCCCAAAACAATAGAAACAATGGCAAACGCGTTCAACAGCACAAACCCGTTTAGACGCGTCTGGAACATATTCCGACTAGCTTATTAATATTCATGAGGCACGATAATTAGACGATCGCTTTCCCAGACGCGTTTGTAATACATGGTTTTCCCAGACGCGTTTCTGTCGTTGGGGATAATTTGTAGATCGCGCCTTACTAGGACAGTATCTCACCGGTGTTCACCGTATCTCGTTTAGCTGTATCTTTAGACACAGCGAACTAAATACCACAGTATTTTGCGGATTTCCCAAAAAAAGACATGAAAATTTATACAAAGTTTACAAGGAACAGTAATAATATAAACTTGTCCTGTAATGTTTGGATTACTTTTGACAATTATGAAGTTAAAAACAACTCAAAAAGGTAATTTTAAAGATGCTTTGATTGATATTATGAACCAACTAGGCCTAGCAGAACTGCCTCGAAAACGAGACCGTGGTTAAGCTACAGATGTTCAAGTCAATTAACAGAAAGTTCTATCGGATGAGAGCCTTGCCAATCCCGTCATTTGTCAGTGTTAGCTTGCGGGGTGAAGCGCTTGTTTTCTATCAGGTGACCACGTTCATACGATTTGTGTCAGCCTCATAACAAGCGCTTGTTCGATAACTACGATATCACCGGTGTAACTAGGCTAGTATGTTTTAAAATGGCATCCACCAAATAATCCACTGATCATGGGCAAAATGATGTTTGACCTACAGTATTCAGGCTGTTTGTAAGTTTTGGAATAATCAACATAAAGTATGCTATTATGTGCTCCAAAAACCACTTTAGGATCCAAAAATTATGTTCAAGGTAGTGGAATGTACTTGGGGCATTTATAAAGGCCATCCTGGTCAATCAGTGAGAATATTTTGTGGCATAGCTTTGGAGGCAATATGGAAAATAGTTTTTATTTATTGTCGTTAATATGTTGATTTGCTATTAGTACAAAAGCACAAAATACAAATTGACTACTGATTGCTAATTTTATAAACTGAACTAGCAATTGTTTTACAACCAAATTTATAATTCAGGGGTATAGGCTGGTTTTATCTTAGGGGTAGGGGGTGCAAAAATTAAGAATAAGGAACTGGGTGGTAAGAAAATTGAAAATGCAGAACTAAATGCAGAACTAAATCCCTATTCAATGAAATAGTTAATTTTAGTATTTTAAAACTTAGTGGACTATAATACTAAATTGCTACCATTGAGTGTGCATCCCCCCCCCCCCCTTCACCCAGCCTGCGCCCATGTAATTGGGATAGACAGGGCCTTCTGCAGCATTTGAATTTTTCTATGCTACATAATACTTCTTGAATACAATACCACACATACTACATACCACATTTAAAGCAGAACTTGTGAAAGCTTACTCCAGCATTCTTCTTCTCCTCTGCAGCATACACTGCCTTTTTACAAGCAAAGCAATAAGTAGGTGCCATCTTGATTCACTGTCAAAAAAAGCCAAATATTCATTAGTAAACTCAGTAAACTTCCTAGATGTTGGTGGTAAAATATCAGGGGGTGAATAAACTTATCACTAAAAATGGAACAGTACTTTTTATTTCCAATGACAAGCGCCACTTTTCCTGTCCACATTTTGCATGGGTTAGTATATGTTCAGGTGCCCCCAAACGTACAATCTTTTGTACTACAGGCAACATAACAAAACATACGTTATTTGCATGTTGTCGTCAGGTGTATCGTCCCCAAACTACCAGCTTTTAAGTTTGTGGTTCTATTGTACAATATATAACAAAGTAGTAGTAAACACTTGAATGTTACCCCGGTTTTGCTAAGTATAGTTTTTTCTAGCACCCTCAGGGTGCAATACCCTGTGCTGGCAACAAACATGTTAAAAAACATAGTAATCATTAAAGGCCAAGTGGGGGTTTGAAATAATTAATGTTTAATATAAAATAGAGGGATGGGGGACCACAAAGATTTTGGAGCACGGTATTCGAAAACGAGGCTCGTGAACTGGGTCCCAAAAACGAAGTGGTGTACAGGATTTTGAGCTAGTGTTAAAAGATAGGGAATTTCCTAAAATGGACCGACTTCAAGTGCTTGCATTTGGTAACCCCATAACAAAATCATGTCAAACTTTAGATATTCCAACGTAAATTTGGCCGTTCTTTTCATTTATATGGGTTTTCACTTATGAAAATGTCTCAATTATGTGTAAAATAACAGTTTTCCCCAGTTTTTGTTTCGTGAATTTTGCACTAGACAGGGAGTCAGCTGATTCACTCAATCGTAACGAGATGTTAACACAGCCAACTGATGATGAGAATATGGTCGTCGCGAGCGGAAAACTCAAAAATCGGGATTGGCGAAAACATTTAATAATAATAATATAATAAGTCAATTGCATTTTTGAAGAATGAATCTTTCAAACAAATACGTTTGCCGGTTGGAATATGGAAGTCTTGGAAGTAGTGGTCGTAGAAATGGCGTTAAATAGGTTTGTTACCAACTTGTCTTACCTGTGTAGGCTTAGGCATAGCCTAGCAGTACTGTATCATGTATAGAATACGGAATGCTACTCTCTACTGTCTGGCGCGATGTAGGCCTAGGCCTAGACCCCTAATTTAGTCATAAAAACTGTAATTCAAACATTAGACGAACAACACTATTTTGAATAAGTACAGTAATTTACATGTTAATGATTGATCCATGGAACTATCTACTGGAAGGCAGCTCTATTCAAATGTCAGTTTATTCGTCGTGGAATGTGGACGATTCCTCAAAAACTAGCTCAAATTTGCGCAGAAAATGGCTAAGAAAATGGTGCACAGAACTTGACTTCTGTATGATACATTGGTTATACAGGTATATTCAGATTAGTTCCAAACTAATTTTCAACAAATGCTGCTCGGAAATCGGCCTTTATTTTCCGAGGAGGATAAATTGCCTGCACACACTCGAGTCTGAGTTACAACCACCTGGCCTAGGCGTGACCCTGCTAGTTCTTCCATGCTGGATCAATAACTAGTAGAGGGTCAAATGCCCAGCCATTTTGATGGTCAAAATACAGGGGAATTATTATTTCTGTACTCTACATTAAAAATGATTGAGAAACAAAATAACCTGTTATACGTATGTGCTATACATGTTTAAATTGTAATTGTCTTCATCTGTAACTTTTTAACTAATTTTTATTTTTATATTATTTATAAAAAAGTTCTATATATAATGAAATAGTTAATTCTATTCAGAATAATATTTTAGGCCGTGGCTATTGTTATACAACTTTGCAATGCATTTGAATATGGGCTTTTCACAGCGATGGTTAATTAATATATATTTTCAATAAAAATTATCATTGATGATTAGTGCCAGGACTATTTCCTTATTTATTTTTTTTATTTTATTTATTTATTCAAGACTCAACAGTGTATCAAAAACACCAGTAACAGAGTCGCCATAAAAATATACAATATCATTCATACAAATATATAAATTTTTTTTTTTAAACATAAAAAGCATAAAAAAAACCGTAATAATATATTAAAAACCGGTATTTAGTATAAGATTAAAAATAGAAATATTACAATTAAAAATATCAATATTAGGAAAAATTTGAACTAGATTATTATAAGAAAGTGCAACACGACGAAAAATACCATTAGTACAAACATTAAAACGAGAGTACAGAACTTTTAACAAATGATTGGTACGAAGCCTGTGCACAGGAACATGAAAATAAAAATTCGACACAAGGTTACAATCAAACTTATACAGTTTAAACATTTAAATAGAAAAATAAGATCGTTTTGTTTTCATCTAGTCGATGGTAAAAATATTTCGCAACTAAGCGAACCGGCAGCTGGGCCAATGAACTTCATGAATTTGTTATGAATCCGGTCTATTCTAATGGAATGAGTATGAGATATTGAGTTGTAGATAACTGAAAAGAAATCAAGGGATGGATTATTATTATTATTGATGTATATAGAGTAAATTTTGCTGATGGTGTAAGAAGTTTGCAATTTCTCCACATTAGTCCAAGCAGCCGGTTTGCTTTTTTAACAATGGTGTCCACATGGGTGGAAAAGGTTAAGTTTCCATCAACGTGGACAGCAAGATCACGATGTGCTTTTACCCTTTCTAAAATATTACTATCAATTTTATAATCATATATTATAAGGTTTTTCTTTAAGGAACATGACAAAATTTTACATTTTTCAGGCTTCAGGGACAGTTTCCAAACGGTGGTCCATTGAAAGAGACGATCAATGTCCTCCTGAAGCGCGCGAGTCCTCCTGAGTTTTGATGATTTTGTAGATCTTGAGGTCGTCAGCGAAAGCAAGGCATTGGGAATTTAAGAAATGCCGTGGGATTTCATTTATGTTAATGTTAAATAAGATTGGGCCCAGTATGGAGCCCTGGGGGACTCCAGAGAGGACAGGGAGGAGACTAGATTCAGACCCCTCAAATACCACTCT